CTGCTGGCCCTGCTGGCACTGCTGGCCCTGCTGGCACTGCTGGCACTGCTGGCCCTGCTGGCACTGCTGGCACTGCTGGCACTGCTGGCACTGCTGGCCCTGCTGGCCCTGCTGGCCCTGCTGGCCCTGCTGGCACTGCCGGCCCTGCTGGCCCTGGTGGCACTGCTGGCACTGGTGGCACTGGGTGGATGTTGTCCAGAGTGGTGCCGGACCCTGGAGCTCCTGCTGGGGGGTCTGGGAGGGTCTCTGCTGCAGGGACAGGATCCCAGCCCCGCTGCTGGGAGCCCCAAAGGCGCGGGAGCAGAGCTGAGCTTTCCCAGCCAGATCCCAGTGCTGGGGCCCCCACAGGGAATTGTTGAGCTTGGAAAAGTCCTCTGAGACAGAGTCCAACCATTCCCCCAAAAGCCAAAGCCACCGCTGTCCCCAGGCAGTGCCACATCCTCAGGGCTGTCAAATCCCTCCAGGGATGGGGACTCCACCCCTGCCCTGGGCAGCTGTGCCAGGCCTGGACAGTCCTTTCCATGAAGGAATTGTTCCCAATATCCACCCTGAGCCTCCCCTGGCCCAGCCTGAGGCCGTTCCCTCTCCTCCTGTCCCTGTTCCCTGGGAGCAGAGCCCGAACCCCCCGGCTGTCCCCTCCTGCCAGGGACTTGTGCAGAGTCAGAAATTCCCCCTGAGCCTCCTTTGCTCCAGGCTGAGCTTTCCCAGCTCCCTCAGGAATTCTCCAGCCCTTTCCCAGCTCCCTCAGGAATTCTCCAGCCCTTTCCCAGCTCCATCAGGGATTCTCCAGCCCCTTCCCCAGCCCTGTTCCCTTCCCTGGATAAGCTCCAGCCCCTCCACGTCCCTGTCCTGAGGGGCCCAAATGCCACCTGTGAGGAGGGAATGGCACTCCCAGGCAGCAGAGCCAGGGCTGAACCCTCTCTGTTCTTCTTTCACAAAAATACAGCTGCCACTACAGCCCCTGGGGTCCCCAAAATGCCACCTGCTCACCCCAGGATAGGCAGAAAGACACTTCCAGTTGGTTGACTTCAATTTCTAATCCAAAACCAATAAATAAATCTGTGAGTTAGAGCCTCTGTTTCCAGCTGTTGTTTATTTCCCCTGTGCCCAGCCCTCAGCACAGTCACACTCTGGTGTGGCAGCACAGCATTCCAGGAGACACCACAGCTTTAGGTACCGCTTTTCCTTCTGAACTACATAAAATTCAGCATTTTAAAGCAAATGGAGACCTGGTGCCAGCCCTGCTCACCTGGGGACAGGTTCCAACTGCTCAGCCTGTCCCCAGGGGTACTGCAGGGGTGTCAGTCACTCACCAGGAGCTTGTGCACTCTGACAAATCCCTGCCTGGTTTTTTGGGCTGGCACAGGTCACACAGGGCACAGCAGGGAGCAGATTCATGCAGCAGGCTGGGGACTCAGGGCACAAGCAGAGCAATGCCTGGGGACGTCCCTGCTGCCCGTGCCAGGGATGAGAGAGAAGCTGGGTGGCCCCAGGAGCCACTCCCAGAGCCAGAGCAGCCCGTGGAGCTCCCAGGTGACCCTGGAGCAGCGCTGGCACAGCAGCTCTGGCCCTGGAACTGGTTTTAGTGGAGCCAGAAGCGATGCTCACAACGTTGAAGCAGCAGCATGGAAGGAATATTGAAATCTTCAGCTCCTACAGGTGGTTTCTGCTTCAAGCAAAGACATCTCAGTCCCACCTTCTGCATCCACATCAGGCTCCCACAAAAATAACAGGAGCTTCTTCCCAAACCTCCAGGCTTGATCCTGCCCAGCCTCGAGTCTCACAATGATCTGCAGGTGACACCTGACAGCTTGACAGACAGCAAGAGAACCATAAATATTCTTCATCATAATATAAATAAGCTGTAGAACATCTCAACAAGGGCAAAGTGCTTTTGCTTTTTTTTTTCTTTTCCTTAATTAAGACAAAATAAAAACCTAAATAAAACTTGTCTCAACCACGAGAGAAGATTTGACTCCTAAAACATCTGAATGGCCTAAGTGACGCTTGCAGTGACAGTAAAGTGATGCAGGCAGGGCTCAGTCCTTGGGCACTCGGAAGTTGTCCTTCTCCTTCCTGATGGCCCCCATGGCCCGCACAGGGTCGCTCTCCCCAGCGTGCTCCTGGACCGACTTCTCCCTGCCAGGAGGGAAGAGCAGGGTCAGGATGGAATCCCAGCTGTGGGAGCACCAGGAGCAGGTTCCAGGGTCAAAGACTGGGCTTTGTTTGGCACAGCTCGTCAGGCCTGGTTTGAAGGCTCAGGGGAGGGAGGAAATGGCACTGCTGGGTGAAGGAACACAACAAAGCCTCTTCTGTCTCCTGAGTCAGGGAATGATGCTCAGCACAAACCTCCAGTCCAGGCATTTTGCTGCCAGGACAGCCAGTGAGAGTCTTGGAGCCATCCAAACAGGAATGTGGGAGGCAGAAGAGCCATTCCCACTGGGACACCTCCTCCTTCCCCAGCCCCTCCCAAGCGGAGCCATGCCCTACCTGACTCTCATGAAGGGGTTGTAGGTGAACTCCTCGGCGATGGTGGAGGGGATGGTGGGCTCTCCACTGTCGTACTGTGCCTGCAATGAGGGACACTCTGCTGCTCCACCAGCAATTCTGGAGAGCAGGGAATGTCCTGGACACAGTTTCCAGGCAGGGAGTGCCTCCCCCAGACAGTGAGCTGCCTTCTGTGGGCACAACCAGACCCTGTTCCCCTGGGACACAACATCCCGCAGCTCCTGGCCCTTCACTCCATTTCCCCCCAGCATTTTCTCCTCTCCTCCATCTCCTCAGCAAGGAGAACTCCTCTGTGTCCAGGAAAGCATCGAGCCCAGGGAAAGGATGAGCAGCTCACCTTGGCCCAGGCCAGCTTCTCCTGGATACTGGGGTTACTGGGCTCCACGTGCCGAGCAAACTTGAGATTGTTGATGGTGTACTCGTGGCCACAGTAAACCCGCTGGGGACAGGAAGGAACAGTGACACTGAGGGACACCACAGCCACCAAGGGGCACTGCCAGGTGCCAGCAGCACAGCAGGAACAGCACACTCGACCCAACACCTCCCACTGGAGACAGTCACAAGTGCCAGGACTCACAGGCAGGACAAGCTGCCACTTCAACAGAGGAAAGAGCCCCATGTCCCAGCTCAGCAGCCTTTAATCACCAGCCCCTGCTCTTTCCCCACGAAGCACACACACATTTGGGGCAGGCAAATCCTTCCCAGAGGACTGCAGCTATCCAGCAGCACAGAATTCGTGTAGGCACTCATTCCCTGCTCACACCAGAGTCTCTCTGAGCAGCAGCTCTGCCAGGGAGTTTCTCAGATTTGTGTGGTGCTTTGGGCTGCCTCACTCACACAAAAGGACAGGTTTGTACCGTTTTGGGGTCCAGGCTGCCCAGAATCTCGATCAGTGCCTTGTACATCTCCTCGGGGGTGCCCTCGAAGAACTTGCCACAGCCAGCCACGAACAGGGTGTCACCTGCAGGGGTGACACGGCATCAGGACCACAGCAGGCTCCCCACAGCCAGCCCCAGGGCTCAGCCCTGCCACTGCTGCCTCAGCACAGCAGCAGGAGCACGGGGACAGCCAGGCTGTGCCACACAAACACTGCTGGCAACCGTGGCTGGGAGCTGCAGAGCCTGGCCAGGCACACCCTGCCAGCACCTCCTACCTGTGGGCAGCCCCTGTGCCCTCCTGGAGGGGACAAGGAACACCTGCTCTCTGCAACAATGATGAGTCGCCTCTATTTTCTCCCCAGTGCTCCCTAAAATCTTGTTTAAGCCTCTTTCTCTTCCATGCAGGAGCTTCTGTGAGCTCTGGAGAACACAGGGATGAAGCAGAACCCCGGGGAAGGGGAATCCTCCTCCCCAAACCAGGATCCAGGCCCTGGCCATCAGCAGTGCAGCACCAGCCCCCTGGGACTCCCCTACTCTCTCCTCTCTCTGCTGTCAGACCTGAGCACAGATACATGGAAAAGCAGCAAGGTTTGGGATCAGCCAGTTTGGCCTGAGACAGGAAACCAACAGCTCTTTTTCCCAGGACAAAAAAAAAAATGCTGGATGTAGGAGCCATCCAGGGCTCGCTCTGCAGGGTGTGCAGCCCTGGCTTACAAATCCAGAGGGGTTTCTCCAGTTCTACCTACAATTCCTGCTTGGAAAGGGGAGCAAGACATGGATGTTGGGGAGCAAGACATGGATGTTAAGCAGCTGCCCTGGCAGGAAGGGATGGAGGCACATCCAGAGGCACCCAGGCAGAGGGGGAGTCGCTATTTTGGCAAGGGAACCTCCCAACTCCTCACCTGTAAAAACTGCAGGTGGCTCGGAGCTATTTGGCTTAGTCACATAATAACAGATGTGTCCCGAGGTGTGACACGGCGTACTGAGGCATTTCACACTCAGAGATCCCACCTGGGAAGAAGGCAGAACACTAAAGCTGAGGCTGCTGTTTGCTGGCAATCGCACGGTTAGAAAAGAATTGCTGCTCTCAGTGCTCCAATGGCCCAAAATTTGCCCCAGTCTGGCCAGGAAGGAGCAGCTCTGCTCCTGGGAGAGCCCAGGGAGGGAGCTCTGTGGCAGGGAGCTGTTTCCTCCAAGCAGGTGTCCTGACAAAGGGAACTGCCAGATCCTTTCATTTCCACGCACAGGGACTCAAAGCCTGGTTGGCAGCAAGAGCCAACAGAGAATCCTAAACAAAGCTAACCGAGCGTGAAAAAAGCCCCAAACAAAAATGGAGCTGAAGGGGAGAAGTGGATGACACTGAGGGAAAGGCAAAAGGGTCAAACACAGCCTCATCTGCCCACCTGCCTGGGCTCCCTCCTCCTCTGCTGCCCCTCCGAGGGCCAGCAGTGCCGTTCACGCCTGCCTGCACTTTGCACAGCAGCTGGTGTCACCTGCCAGCTCTCCTGCAAACAAACAGGCTGCTCCCAGCCAGGCCTGCTGCTCCCAGCCGGGAAAAAGCCACGCAGGCAGCTGGCACTGCCTTCCTCAGCCCGTGTTCCAGCCGTCATTCCCACAGCAGCACTTGGATCTGGGCTGGTGCTCGCCACGCTCCTGGCAGAGCACAGTCCCTGCCCTGGCCCAGCCCTGCTGTGTCCCCCAGCTGCACAGGGACACCCAGCACGTCCCATGTGCCTCACTGCTGTCCTCTCACAAGGAACCAAACAAGGCAGAGAGCTGGGAAAGGGGGAAAGCTGCATTTAAAGCATCCACCACATTCCCGGTGTGTTCAAAGGTAGCAGAGGTGCCCAGCTCAGGGGGGAGCACGCCTGTGCAGCTGTGACACAAAGAGGGGATGCCCAGAGTCCTGCAGGTCCCTCCCTTTACCTTGAGAGCTGTCAGGTGGGAAACTTTCTGCGTCAGGGCCCCCACCCTGCCGTCCCCCCCGTATACGCGCAGCCCCGGCTCCATCTTCACCAGCTTCTCGTTGCCTCCAGCATGGTCCCTGGAATGGGGGGAAAAAAAGGGATTTGGGGAGGAATGAACACGGATTTATGGTTATTGGTATTGCTGTGACCTGGAGGTGAGCTCCAGGTGATCATTTCTGATCCATCCCTCTCCCAGGATTTATCACTGCTCATATCCAAGGACAGGCCACGACAACACGAGTGGAGATCATTTCTCCAGTAATTAGGGCAGTGAGAGGGGGAATCAATCCCTGCCCAGCTGGGAAACAGCAGCCTCAGGGGCTCCCAGTAACCTCTCCAGTAACTGGGGCAGGGAGGGAATGGGGTGAGTGGAAAATGTGCAATCCAACATCCCACGAAACACCACGGGGCAGGCACACAGATACCCCCCAGTCACCGTGCTGCTGCTTTGCCCAGCTCAGGGCTGATTGTTTCACTCTCCAGCCACAGAGGTGGATCCACTCTGACCCATGGACAGGTTACTACAGCAAAACATTCATTTTATAACCCTGGCAGAGCTGATTTGCACCTGGGGTGATCCTCCCACAGTGCTGACTGCAGGACGCCTCACGGGCCTGTCCTGGCACCTCAGCACAAATGTGCTTCCTCCCACACCCAAAGCCACCTCCACACCCAGTTACTGCACTGGCTGCCTGGAAAAATGGGGATTTTACAGGTGAAGGGCACTGACACACAGCTCGTGGCCAGAGCAAGGCCAAAGGAATGAGGTGTGATCCTTCTCCTCACGCCTCAGCTGCTGCTGCTCAGAGATGAGCAGGGTCCAGGAGAGCAGCAGCTCCTGGTTCTGTGAGAGGGAGCCGGGACAGGGCGGTTACCAGTGGTGGTGGGTGGTCAGGACAGTGGTCAGCTTCACGCCGTGCTTTTTGACTGCATCCAAGACCTGCAGAGTGGGACACAAAAGGAGTTTCACCTCCCAGGGAAGGAGCTGGCAGCACCCTGGAGTCACCTGGGCACACCTGGAGCCCCAGAGCAGCTCTGCAGGTGGGGTCAGGGGGCAGCACACGAGGTCTCTGTTCTGCCAGCCGTGACCAAGCCCCAAGTCCTGTTTCCTCTTTTCTGCCCTACATCAGGTTAAGGGCAAAATCCCAAACCAGGTCAGCAATCCCTGGAATGAGTGAGGGACACAGCAATCCATGGGGTGAGGGACACAGCAAACCCTGGACTGGGGGACACAGGAATCCCTGGATTGGGGGACACAGCAATCCCTGGACTGGGGGACACAGGAATCCCTGGATTGGGGGACACAGCAGTCCCTGGAATGAGTGACACAGTAACCCCTGGAATGAGGGACACAGCAATCCCTGGAATGAGGGGCACAGCAATCCCTGGAATGAGGGGCACAGCAATCCCTGGACTGGGGGACACAGCAATCCCTGGGATGGGGGACACAGCAACCCCTGGAATGAGGGGCACAGCAGTCCCTGGAATGGGGGGCACAGCAGTCCCTGGGGTGAGCCCTGGCTGTCCCTGTGCACAGCCAGCCTCTCCTGCCTCTCCCCCACAGTGGAGGCAGCGTGTGCCTCGCTCCCTGCTGGACACAGCAAGCTGGAAGGACATCCTAGAGCCGAGTGTTACCTTCTGGGGCTGCACAGGGTCAACTATGGCAGCCTCCCTGGTGTCCTGGTCGATGAGGAGGTACATGTAGTTGTCAGTGAGGGCTGGCAGGATTTCCACCTTCATGTCGGCCTGGGTCACTGTCTTGGGCTCCCTCAGCTCGTGCTCCGTGTGCAGGAATTTAGCTCGCAGCTGTGCTGGACCTGGGCACCCAAAAACAGCCAAAGCTCAGCCCTGGGAGGGGGACAGGTGGGACAGGGCATGGCAAGTGCCCCAGCTCACAGGACAGCCCAACCTGCCTCCTTCAGACAAGAAGAGTGAGGTCACCACGGGACAAAACCTTGTGCCCCTCAAGGTGCTCCACAGATGCCCTGGGAAGGACAGGACACTTTGCTTTCCCGGCAGGAAAAACTCTGTTCTTGGGTCAGAGAGGAGATTTCAAGGGGCAGGAAAGCAGAATGGAGCTGGCCAAAGGTCAGCCTGGGACAGTGACTTTGCAGAAAAGGCACAAAGGGCACGTTAGAACCAAGAAATGAAAAAGGAAGTAGGGCCAAAAAAAAATTTTCAAAATAAAAAGGAGAAATACACAAAAACACACACTGCTCTGACACAAATATCTGGTTTGTTCCTGGGGGAATTATCATCTGCCCAGCTCATGGAGAGAAGCCAGGCTCTCCAAGGGAGGAAGGCTCCTGACCTGGCCAGGTAAGAGACACACACAGAGCTCTTGCTCATGCCTGCCCTGATGCAACACCAGCGCTTCCTTGTTTGCTTTTGGTTCAATGTTTAATCAGATCCAAGAAGCAAATTCCAGATGCAAATAACGTGGGCTCCACTGCTCCGTGCACAGGCACACAGCTCTTAAAGAAATAACCAACCCTAAGAGGTTTTACCACACAAATTAGAGGAAGAGAAGCAAAGAGAGTGGGGTCTTGCATGGCTGGGGCCCTGCAGGTCAGAGCTGAGCTCAAACACCGGCAGGGAAAGGGGTGCCAGTCCCTGCAGGTCAGGAATTGCTGTCTGAGCACCCACGAGGTGTTTGCACAACCCCAGAGGTGCCTGTGCTGGCTCAGACCCATTTTATTCTGCACCACTGACTCTCCCAAAGGCTCCTGACTTTCCAGCTTGGCCGCCTCCCTCCGTGCCCCTGTGCTGATCTCCCTGTCCCACTGTCCCCAGCCACCCCAGCCTGCCCAGCCCTGATAAAAGCCTCAGAGTCCTGCAGATCTGCTCCTGCTGCCAGCCCAGCCTGGGCATGGGGAGCTGTCAGGGCCTTCTGGCACAACCATCCTGCCCAGAGCTTCTTCCCCTTCCCCTTCTATCTCCACCCTCCCTGCTTATGAGGGAAGGGAAATCAGGGAAATTAAACACAGTGCTCAAAAAAACACCCCAAAAACTCAAGGCACAGCAGAACAGGCATGCACTGGGTATTTGCAGTACTGGGAGAAGCATCCCTACCTGCAGAGCGTTCCTCTGGAGAAGGCTCCTTTCAAAAAAAGAACACAAAATAAGTCCTTACTATTCTTTGATGGGGGGAAAAAATGCCCAAAAAACCCCTGCTTGCCAACAGGGAGAGCTTTTGGATGCTGTCAGTCACAAGAGTTATCTATGCTGGGTGTTTGTTTGCAGGCCAGACACCAACTAGGAACAAAAATACAACCAAACAAAAGAAAACAACACAACCTTAACTTCAACTCAAAGGAATTATTCACATGCTTCAAATGCTTCTTTCCTATGAACCATCTCTAACCTTGGCCCGGATCCCACAGTCTCTTTTGCGTGTGTAATTCACAATTCTTACCAAACAAACAAACAAGCTGCACCACATAAGGAAATGTTTTCAAACATGTAATTTCAACAGAGGAACGAGGAAACATCCACCAAGAATGAGACTCACGCGTTGTGAGCTGCCATGTGCGGCTCAGGAGCGGAGCAGGGAGTTTCTCACGCACCCAAAGGAGCTCCCTGGGTGATGCTCAGCCCCTGCCCCAGCCCAGCACTAACTCAGATCGCTGCCACACACACACAGCTCTGCCCCACAATTAATTAATTAATGCCCAGTGACTTCATTCTCGCTCAGCTTCGTCCCACGTCCCTCCTGACTGCATGCCTGGAGCAGAGGAGTGGGAGAGCAGCTCTGAATCGCCCACCCGAGCTTCTGGAATGGTTCATGAGCACAGCTGGAGCGGCCAAGGGGAAAGGTTTTGCAGCTGGGAGTGAGGATGCCAGCACAGAAACGCGTCCGTGTGGGGACTGACAGCAGGCAGGTTCCCCCAGAACCGGGCTGCTTTGTGCACTTCCTCCAGAACGTTTGGGGTTACTCTCTTTTATTACATAAAAGAGTGGAAAATTCCCCTTTCACGCAGGGCTGCCGCTCAGAAATGCCAGCACGCCCAGCCGCTGCGCTCACAAGAACCACGCTCTCTACACTCTGCACGCAGGGATTTTTTGGATACCCAGCGAGTTTGTGGCTCCAAGAAATGCATCCAAAGGCAGGGCAGCCCCCACCCCCGGCAGCGTGGAAGGTGCAGAGCCTGCCCTGCGATGCCGGGAGCTCGGGAGCTGCTCGCTCTGACATCCCCACACCGCAGCGGCGTGTCCGGCTCTGGCAGAGAACGCCCAGCGATTCTCGCTCTTTACAGACACGTCCTAAAACCCGAGCGATGAAAAAGCATCCGGGGAGACCTCCCAGAGAGCCCAGGATAGGTTGTGAGGATTTAGGCCCGAAATGAAACCGCCGAGCTCGGGCAGCCGGGGGTGGCTGCCATCAGCAGCGCAAGCTGTCACCC